AGCCATGTGTCCAGTTTTATTAAAAAAAGAAGCAATCATCCGCTTAGAGGCACTTTGCACGCGCGCCACTTTGGTTGGTTTCGGCTCCTTTTGAAAGACCCATACCCTCGATTGCTGCTTTGTTTTGGGTTCGTAACTATAAATCTATGTTTCGTCACCTGTTTCTATGTCCCACACCAAATTTGACGCCCCTTCGTTGAATCTGCTAAGTATGGCATTGCACCAAATGACGTGATCCGTTTTTTGAACCTCAGTCAAATTGTGGGGGATCCACCGAGAGCACAGTTTTTTCACACCCAAATGTTTGTGTAGTGTTTATTGATTGTATTGGACTCATGCCTATGCTTAAAGACGCCCGAATCTCATGGTATGTCACATGCCTGTCTGTTTTGATCATACGGCGCACAGCATCGATGGTTTTGTTGTTCACAGCAGTGGACGGGTGACCAACACGAAATTAGTCACTGAGATTCACACGAACACCTTTGAATTTTGCAAATCAGCTATAAATAGTCGTCTTGCATGGCGCTTCATCGCCAAAGCAGTTTGAAACCGAGCAAAGATCCGCTTAGCTGTTCAATTACACTTAAAGTCGTAGAAAATCATGCTACGAAAATTTTCACGAGTTAAATCCATGGTGATGTAGATAACCAATTCCTAAAATGACGCCACAATGTAAAAACAAGTGACAGTCAGATGAAATAAACTATATTCGACTGCCAAAAAACCATTTTCAAATGTTGTAATTACTTTTTAAGTATTGTTTATGTAAGTGGCCAGTTCCGGAAACTTAAAGTGCACCCTATTATTTATAATACTGCCGCCGTTAGTTGGAAGGGCGTATGCACATTTTTTTTAAAAATTATGCATACTGCCGTGATCACCGACCGACCAAACAATAAAAACGACCTCAAAAGTTCGTAGAATTACATCTATTTGCCAAGTTTTATTGAAATCGGTTACCGGAAGGTGGGATGTTTTCTTCAAATTTAAATGGGACCAATACTGAGGTACCCTCTTTTTGACAAAGAAGAATCGTCCAAATCTGCCCACAAACAATTCGGAGTAATCGTGTAAAAAACACAAAAAATACTCCTCCTTTTTTAAGTCGGTTACAAAAAGGCCAACCTGTCCCTATTTAAATTTTTTTTAGGTGAATAAGGTATGATGTGGCCGCAAGAGAAAAGTAGATATTTTTTTAATTTCATTTCGTTAAATATTATGTTCTCGATTTTAAGTTTTTATCACAAGTGCCCTTTCAACTATCGGCAGCAGAGTATTGTGACTAGAAACCGTTAATAAATATAAGATCTCTCTTAAACCGTGGTATCGTATTGGTTTGACCTACCAGCCCTCAAGCAGAGGCCGTGGGTACGAATCTGGGCTCGCACCTCTGAGTTTCTCGAAAATTATGTGCAAAATTTAATTCCAAATTTGCCATTAGCTTTTCGGTGAAAGATAACGTCTCACGACGTTACGAAACCTGCACATAGAAAAAGGTTCACAACCATGTGAAGAACTCCACATTGGGCCAGAGTCGCAGACTACGGCCTAAACCCTTATCAGAGAGGAGACCCGGGGACAAAAAGAATAAAGACTCAGCATTGCTGTTTTTCAGGCTTCACCTTAAAGCTATTTGCTTGCTGCATCAGACCGGCAAGCGGAGTGAATACTAAACGCCAGGCAATTAATAGAGGCTGTCTGTGTTGCACTGCACTATATGTAAAATGTATTAAAAAAAATTAATTATTAACAGAAAACATTCTAAAATTGTATTTATTTATTTATTTAGTGTTGCTAACGGATTTAACCACCGACCAATTGCTATTCGATTTCTGCACAGAGAGGAGCCATTGTTTACACATTTTTTTTAAAGAACATAGCAAACATGCTTGCCCGTAGATTCGTCAGATGTACTGCTGCAGTGAAGTTTACACTCTTTAGAGCTTACTGCACATCACTGTACACTGGCGCTCTATGGACAAACTACACCCAGCGCTCCCTGAATGCTCTACGCGTGCAGTATAACAACGCTTTTAGGGCGCTGTTGGGCTTGCCACGTTTCTGCAGTGCGTCAGCCATGTTCGTGGAGGCGCGAGTAGACGGTTTCATGGCTGTACTACGTAAAAAGTCGGCGTCGCTACTGAACAGAATACGTGACAGCCCCAACAGCCTCCTGAAGACTGTTGCGGAGAGATGTGAGTGCCCAATTATGCGGCACTTAATAAATAGTACTAGGTCAATAGTAGAGTATAAGAACTAACATAGTTTTTAGTCTGTACTAACACTTTATGGATCACAGTTGTCTTAAATAAAGAATTTATTATTATAATTATTATAGCGTTTTAGCATTTTTTAACGAAGGTAGCAGGTCATTCCAGCACTTACTCGCTGCGAATCGGAAACTGCCCTTGAACAGAGTAAGTGATGATGGTGATAGTTTTTTCAAGTGCCTAATTTTTCTTCTCGTATCGAAGGCATACTCGTATACATGTTTGCCATCGTTCAAAATATATCCTATGATGATACAGAGAATTTGTTAATTATCCCAAAATAAATGTTGTCTAATTTAACCGAATATGTATATAACTGCCTCGATTACCATGCCGGACTGCCACGCAGGGGTCCGGGGTTCGATTCGTTGTTGGCAAAATATTTGTTTTGCCTACATTTATTTCTCTCGTGAATTTGGGTATAATTTGTGGTTGTCTATGTCCGTGGCACCCGCGATACAGGGTTTCCCTAGTGTGGGTCCATGTGTGTGTGCGCGTTATTATTATTATTATATGGTTTGCATTTTATTGTTAATTATTCTTTTGTTTATAATTTAATTATATATCCACTTGTACAATTAGTACTTTTTACCTGTTATATTTTACATTGATTCGCATAATAACGCACACACTCACACACTCAACATAGCCCCGCACTATGGAAACCCTGTGTCGCGGGTGCCATGGACACACAAATAGACAACCACAAATTACATCCAAACCAAATAAGATAAACTTTCAGCCACAGAGGCACTAATCAGTCATTAGTTATTCCTTTGTAAATTAAGTTATTCAATAAACAATTTTATTTATTAATTTTATTGTGTTATCGTGGTGAATGAATTTCTCTATCGACGTAAGGTACAAGTACCGGTTGTTGCGTCGTGCGAGAAGCATGCTTTCGTGTACCCCGGAACCCAATACAAAACTATCGCTAAATCCTGTAGTTAGAATCTCAACATTATAGCTTTTGTTTTTCAACTACTAGAATGCGAATAGGTGGTTCAATAACAAATTATTCAAATTGTTCTTAGCGGATGTAAAGACACTGAACGCATACTATGAATGTAATAATGTATTATTACAGGTGGTAAATAAGGAATTACGAACTAGACCGTATTACGTGCCCGAAGTCGAAAATTGAGGACTTTCGGAGTCGAGGTTCGTAATTCCCGTACCGCCCGTGAGACATACAATATTTTACATCATAAATAGTATGATTGCATGCAAGTTAACTTGACTATAAAGTCCCAAATAGTTTTAGTAATAGTATATATAGTTTTAGTAATAGTAATAGTATAGTATATATAGTTTTAGTAATAGTATAGTATATATAGTTTTAGTAATAGTAATAGGCCTTTTTTCTCATTACAGGACCAAGGCTGCAATGAGAAGAAAAAAGGCCCCAGGGGATTTATTTGGAACATTATAGTCAAGTTAGCCTGCATGCAATCGTACTATTTACGTGCCAGTGTGATTGAAAACATTTTTAACACTTTTTGCTATTTTTTCTTAAACTGATTGGAATTACACTGAAATTGTACCTCTATACCAATAGCCGTGGTAAACTAACGGTTTAACCTACCGACTTCCAAGCCCCTTTGATGCTCTCTGATTGTGGGTTCCAATCCAGCCTTGCGCAGTCGGTTTTTATGTGTGAAATTAAATTTTATACCATGAGCTTTTCGGTGAAGAAAAACATCGCTAGGAAACCTGCACACATATATGTGAAGTTTTTGTTGATACCGCGTGGGAACTGTGAGAGGAGACCTGTGCCCAGTAGTAAGACTATATATAGACTAACTATTTTTAACCGACTTCAAAAGAAATGAGGAGGTTCTCAATTCGACTGTATTGTTTTTGTACTTCTCATTTGTGAACCAATATTAGTGATTCTTATTTTGTTGGAAAGAAGGTACCTCAGTGTTGATCCCATTTAAATTTGAAGAAAATATTGCACCTCTAAGGGTGGCAAACTAGGGCATAAATCCGGTTTCGCGCACTTACCGGTGAGGGATTTCCATAAAACTTCGCAATTAGATGTAATTCCACGTTCTAATTTTTAAGGTCGGTTTTTTTTTTAAATAAAAATGTTATTATATTCCTTCCAATAGTGCAATAGTGCAATGTCTCTAGTCGTTACTGAATATACGTCCTGTGTTAATATACTTATTATCGACGCAAGGAATTATAACTCTTTTGTCTTTGGTATAGAGTTCATAAATATTATATAAAATATACTTAGTAGAGATAATACAACAGTAAGCATGTGAGTAACTACATTTTTTACATGTGTAACCTTTCACAGGAATCTGATTTTTAGGAAGGCGGTGCACCATAACGGGATAGTGAATTGCAATTGCAGACACTCCAATTAAACATCCGGAAGCAATGAGTATAAACCTGGGGTCAGTGATCTAGTGCGGTTAGCCAGAACTGGTTTAGTTAACTATTACAAAACAAGTTTATAGTACTCGTTATTAACAACACAGTGGTACTTGCGTCAAGAGCGCTAATCAATTTTGTTTGCCAAAATCTCAGGTCAGATGTCACCCATTAATCTACCGTAACCCGTCGAGATTTACAACAGTCCATCAGGTAACTTTTCTAGGCGAAGTTCATGGCTTTTGGGTCACCGGTGCCGATTCGCGGACAGAGAGGTGGCACGCGATGCGGTAGTATATAACGCGGAGAAATGCTCTCTCTACATTCATTCAACCGTGTCCTCTCATTATCAACACTTACTAATACAATGGCTGTAAAACTCGCGATCGCTGTTGCGATTTTCGCAGTGTGCCATGCTAACCCCTTCCTTCTAAAAGGTGAGTTAATCATATGGTATAAATAAGAGTACATTTTGCGAGCGTGATTGCATTAGTTAATTATTATGTCACTGTTGTTTATTTTTAATTTATCCAGACTAAAGTTCTATTCTGGGTTTAAAAATGCTTTAAAAAAGTGCAGTTTCTCATAAAAATTATTGAACTTTATCGTAACTATTCTTGTCTTTATCTAACTGTCACATGACAAAAACGTTTAAAGTATTTATGTTTATTGTACTATTACTCATGAATTGTTATTGTTTCTACAGGCGTTTTGTTCCGCGATGGACGCAGCTTCTCCATTGGCCATGCATACGCCAGCAATTTGGGCTTATCACCTATTCGCAGCCAAGCATCAGGAACCGCGAGCAGCAACGGCGGAGTCTCCCAAGCATACGGCAGCGCAGAATCCATAGCAGACCCCTACCCTGCACAAACAGTCGTTCAAGCTGAAACCTATGAAGTGCCTGCTGTCCCTGTCTTCGATCAATCCGCGAAAGCCGTCGCAGAAGCCCAAAACGTGGCCTTCTACCCGGTTGGTTACCAAAATTTTGAAATTCCTGCCGAATCTTATGAAATACCTGCACCAGTAAGTCCATTAATCGCTGAGTCGTCTGCCTCAATGAACGGAGGGTATGACTCTTCTTCGTCGTCTGCCTCCTCGACGGGTACGGGGACGGCGCAATCTTCTGCTCAGACTCAGCGTGGTGCCGGCAATGTTGGTGCTACGATGTCCAATGCTAAGACTTACGGTTCTGGTTATGGATCTGCCGCCTCAAATGCAAACAACGGCTATGCATCAGCCGCTACAAATGCAAACACTGCTGGTTACGGGTCTGCCGCTGCAAATGCCAACACTGGTTACGGTTCCGCAAACACCGCTTCAAGGACGCAAGCAATGGGCGGTTCAAGTTCGGCCACCTCTCAGGTTCAAGGAGGATCCGGTTCCACCAACGCCCAAGCTCAAACTCAGGTCAACAATGGTTATGGATCAGCCGCTTCCTCAGCCAACGATAGAGGTGAATCCAATGTTGCTGCCAAGACTCAAGGATACGGCAACAGCTACGGATCTGCTTCCTCGACTGCCAATATGATTGGAATGTACGGCAGCGCTATTTCCTCTGCTAAAACTTCCAACCAGAAGGGTCACCACTGGCACTTTGGTACCCTATACGACAATCCTATTACCACTCTTTATCATCCGAAATCTCATAGTGTCGGATTCGGAACAATCGACGGATCTGTAGATGTGAACAACGTTGGATTCGCTTCTGCCAAAACTACCGCAAATACTGGGTATGGCGTTGCTCAGTCATTGGCTAACAGCCATGGTTCCATGGGTTCTGCTATGTCCTCCGCCAACACTGTCAACAGCGGTTACGGTTCCGCCAACTCCAATGCTGCCGTCAACGGTGCAGAATTCGGTTCAGCCAAATCTGCAGCTCAGACCAATGGCTTAGGATATGGATCTGCTAAATCTTCTGCTAACACCGGCCCAGTCTACGGTATTAGGTCAAATGGGTTAACGTTTGGCAGCAGAACACAGGCTGATGCCCAAACCTCTGGCTCTGGGTCTGCTAACTCTTCTGCAAGGACCCAAGGATTGAGCACTAGGTACAGAGTGGCCAATTCCGCCGCCAAATCGAATGGCTATGGTTCTGCTCACGCCAATGCACAGAGCATGTAAAATTTTATAGTCAAAAAATACCAGGTTTTGTTTAAAGTACTAGACAATAGCAACCACATTAAGACGACTCCTTGTGGTCGACGAAAACTTGTCTTGGTGTATTTGCACAGTGATTCATTTTTAGTTTAAATTATTTATTGTGATTTTTCCATGTAATGTTATGATTAAGTAATACAATAAATAAGTTTTATTATTTATTCCCGTATTTTATTTGATCTCACTACAATAATATACAAATCTTGCATACATTACGAGTATATAATATGGTAATACGATAAAAACTAGTAAAATTTTAGGAAATGAAACTATTTT